AAATATTAATAATAACATATCATAGTAGAGCAGGCAGAGCTGAAAATTAATATATATCACACATAAATATGCTTAAATTTTAGGTTTAAAATGATTTAATTTTCGAAAATTTATGATTTAATTCTTTGGTAAGCCCGGCTAGCTCAATCGGTAGAGCGTGAGACTCTTAATCTCAAGGTTGTGGGTTCGACCCCCACGTTGGGTGCTTATATGCTTTTTTTATTAGCTAACTTTAGTTAAAACTTTATCTATATTAACAATGAACTATTTCTCTAGGCTTGAGTTTGCACTTATCTTTCAATTTTATCCTATATCTCTCAAATCAACCTTCATGTTTATAATTTTCTTTTTATATCCGCCGTTTTTCTAACTGATATTATATCAAAATACTTTTATAAACTTCTTATAAACTTATTAACCTTCAATAGCCTGATAAAAATTCAAGTAATAATTTAACCATGCATCCAATGTAACCTTCACAAAATATATTATATCTTGATAGTTGATTATTAAATACCTATTATCTGATATATCAGATTTTAATTACCACAGTATAGTATGTTAAGAACTTTTTTACTGTGAGAAAAGCGAATAAAAACTATATAAATTATCTGATAACTTTGTTATATTATTTAGTTTATTTAATCTTGATTGCAATGTGAACAAAAGTCAAACGCTTTTAAAGTTCAAATTATTAAACATAGCTATCACATTATTCCCAGTTTCTATACATTTTATAGTTTACTGTTCTCTTCACTTGGCAGCTATTTGATAAAAGCCACCATATTAATTTACCATAAGGTTTTTGTTTATAGAACAATAATAAACGTAGTAATTTGGATTGTAAGCTTACCAAATAGGGTCAAAAATATTAATTAATAAAATAGCACGATTATAACATAGAATTTTGGATTCATCCGGCTATTATCACATTCTTATTACATGAGCATATCCTCTACAATGCTCACCGCTAGTTGGTTAACTTTATCAGCTCATTACCCAGTATTCTTCCAAATTTGAAATTTTAAAATTATTAAAAACCGAAATTTAATGAATTTAATTTGGTTTTAAAATGAGCGAGTGGGAGAACCCTTTAAAGGGTATATAAATACCTTAATGAAGGACTTACCCCTGTGTTAATCAATTAAATTAATTTTTTTAATATTCAATATATTACACTTTTATTAATTCAATAACATTTTACAAAAATACATTTCTCTTAATTTACAGTTTTGATTAAAATAATACAAAAAACTTAATAGTATAAAATAATAATTTTGAAATAAAATGAGTACTATTACTGTAACTAAACCCACTACCACTACCGCCACCTTAGCTAAAACCACTTCAAGGAGGGAAACTCTACAAAAGTTTGCATTTGCAGGTATGTCCTGTATGAGCGCTGCAATGGTCACTAACCCCTTAGGTAAGTAATTGTTTTTAATCAAAATAATTGTAATATTGATCAAAAATTCAAGATGTTATCAAAGTACGCCTTCAACTTCAAGGCAACGCAGCTCCCGGTACAGCTGTAAAGTATAGCGGCTTCTTCACGGGTTTAATAACTATGCTCAGAGAAGAAGGCATTCGCTCTTGGTATAGGGGACTGTCTGCTTCCTTAGTAAGAGAAGGTACCTATAGTACCCTTAGAGTTGGTTTATACGAACCATTTAAGGACTTGTATCATAGCGATTCTTCTAAACCCTTGCCCTTATATAAGAAAATTTTAGCTGCTATGAGTTCAGGAGCAGTTGCAGCTTCTATTACTAACCCTGCAGATTTGGTAAAGGTTAGGATGCAAGCGCTTAGTACCGACGGTAAACCTAGATACACTAGTTTGATACAGGCTTGGAAGACTATCTATGGTCAAGAAGGCGTTGGTGGTCTCTATAGAGGTGTGGTAAGTATCAGTCTATAGCTTTTATTATATTACATCATTCATTTTTATAAGTATTTTTGTATATAATTGAATAGTCATTAACTAAACTCTATATTTAGACTGCTAATTGTCAAAGAGCAATGTTATCAACAGCTTCTCAATTGGCATCATACGATCATATTAAGCACCTTATCCTTGACTCAGGACTCCTCGAAGAAGGTTTACTCTGTCAATTTACTACAGCAGTAGGCGCTGGTTTCATTTTTGCATGTGTTACCTCCCCCGTTGATACTATAAAATCTCGCTATATGTCTCAGCAATTCAGTAGCTCAGGCAAAGGACTTCAATACTCTTCTATCATTGACTGTGTAAAAAAGGTTACAGCTAAAGAAGGATCCTTGGCTCTCTATAAAGGTTTCTTCCCCAACTGGGCTAGAATTGGCCCTCATACTATTGTTACCTTCTTGGTTTTGGAGCAATTGAGAAAGATGGCAGGTATTAATCCCATTTAAAAACCTTATTGTTGAATTATAACAATATAATAAGCAATACTATCACCCTATCTATCCAGCATAGCTAACTAACTATATTAACCTATATTATTAAACTTAAAAAATAATAGCATTTTTATTACTTGATTTGTAATTAATATTTATTTTATTGTATGAGTAGTTTCTTAATTTCCTAATATACGTAGTTATAATACAATTCTCAGAGATTAGCCTAATTAATTTTCGAATTCTATGACTAATAATGAGTTAATAAGAATTTTTGTTATTTTTTTTAAAATGGTCAATGCTATCAGCATAGATTATCTATAAATCAGTAGTATAAATCATCACTAGCTATTACAAAGCGTTATTGGATACAAATTACATAATATAATGATATAATATCGGATACACGCAATCCTATAGGATTTGTTGCGATTACCATGTGGGCTTTAATATTAAAAAATTTTGGATTAAATAGTCTTATGCTAACTAATCCATTATTATATTGTAAATTTCATCAGTTTTTGGATAATATTGTGTGCAACATATAATGGTTAAATGACATAATATCAATTAATCGTGTTAGAATAATTTTATATAATTTGTTATGCTGAAATTTGTAATTAAAACTATTAAAATATAAGCCTGCATGTTATATTAATATAAATACTTTGCAACCAAATCACCTCAGATCAAATTCAAAAATAAGAGTTAAGCACCCCTACCGGGGGTCGAACCCGGAATCTTCGGATTAGAAGTCCGACGCCTTATCCATTGGGCCATAGGGGCTTATAATTGGGTTAAATTTAATTTAATTATTATATATAAAGTGAGGGTTTTAGCTTATAATATTCTTTGAATATCAAGGCTTATATGTTATTGCTACATAAAATTTTTGTTATTTATTTTTGATTTTATTTTATATTATATTTCTTTAACTTTCATTTACTTTACTATTTGTCCTTCATTCAACTTTTCGCCTTTCATAACCTCATTTTTCTAATTTAAACTCTAAACCCATAATAATATTCGAATTTAATTTCACTTAATTGCTTAATTACCCCAACCTGCTCAAAATTAAAATTAAGATTTTATTAATTTATTTTAGTTTATAAAAAATAATACTGTTAATAATAACTCATATATATTAACTAATTAATTTATATACATAAAAATTAAACATTAATTAATTTAATTTATTAATTAGATATAAAAAAATTTCTAATTTATTCAAAAGGATCTACTTAAAATTTTATAGATCTGATAATTTAATAATAGTTAAATGTTAACAAATAACGTTAGAAGAGTTATAAAAAATAGAGTTTTATACTCTACATTAACCAAAGCTGGTAAATTTCCCTTAAATTCTGGATTTTTCCAAGTTAAGCACTTATCCACTACTGCTACAAAAACCGCTTCTGTCACTGAAACCTCAAGTTTCAAGCCTATTATTGGGCAAGAAGTTCCTTTTTACGATGTTATTGTTATTGGAGGTGGGCACGCAGGTTGTGAAGCTAGTGCGGCTAGTGCTAGAATGGGGGCTAATACTTTACTCTTAACCCAAAAGAAGGATACTATTGGTGAACTTAGCTGTAACCCTAGTTTGGGAGGTGTTGGTAAAGGTATTTTGGTTAGAGAAGTTGACGCTTTGGACGGTGTTTGTGGTAAAGTTGGAGGTAATTGATTTTTACTAATATAATAATGCTATGCTAATATGATGAATTTGTAGATTTGGCAGGTATCCAATTCACAGTATTAAATAGATCAAAAGGCCCCGCCGTTTATGTAAAAACTTATAGTTTAAATTATAATTAATATCAGTATTAATTGATTTATAGGGTCCTAGAGCTCAATTAGATAGAAAATTATACAAACATCATATGCAACAAATATTAAATAAGCAAGAAAATTTAAGTATAATGGAAGGGTCAGCTTTTGATATCACCCTTGAAGATGGTAAAATTGCTGGTGTTGAGTTAAAAGATGGGACTAAGATTAAGTGTAACAATGTTATTCTCACAACTGGTACTTTCTTAAATGGTGAAATTCACATTGGTAACTTTATCACTTTATTCAATACTACGAAAGCTAATCTTTTTATTATTCAGGTTTAACAGTTTATCCAGCTGGTAGAATTGACGAACAGCCTACTATTGGGCTTTCAGAATCTCTTATGAGAGCTGGATTTGCCTTAGGTAGAATGAAGACTGGTACTCCACCCCGTCTAGATGGTGATACCATTGATTACACTGAATTAAAGCCACAACCTGGTGAAAACCCTCCTACTCCATTCTCCTTCATGCATAAATCTGTACCAAATGCTAATAATCAAATCATGTGTCATCAAACCAAAACTAATGAACAATCCCATCAAGTTATTAGA